TCTTTGAGGTCCCTTCCAACCCAAACCATTCCATGATTCTGTATTTACCTGTATGACCACACACGCTTCCCTTCCTCTTTTTCACCAAGTATCTATCAAACGTCAGGACCTGGCCATAAAAGCAACTCCAAAGCCAGCACGGCTGTACTGGAGTATAACAACGGCTCATCGGAGAAAAACCCAGCAATTAAACAGGGTCAGAACTTCTAACACACGGGAATTGTTTCTTCCACACGAATGGCCAGCAGCTCAGAACACTTGAGATTCAGACTCTTCCAGTGCTGGGCATTAAAGATAGTGATGGAGAAGAACAGGGCAGATATGCACATCCCTGAGAGGGGTGTCTCAAACAGCAGAGACAGTTGCATCGAGTGTAAACTTTAGGGTTTTGGCAGCAGGTGGCTGCAGGGGTGACCTGCGTGGGAAGAGGCCAGGAACTGCCCTGCACCACTCCAAACCTCTTCCAACCTGCTGCGAAATCCTGATCAACCCACTACACCGAAACATCCATGAGTCAGTGTGCTCAGGCACGCCTGAGAACAGGCAGCAGTCACCAGGAGACAGGGTCTGGGAAGGAGGATGCTCCACGCCAGAGCAGGGACCAGCTTTTGAGCAAGTTAAAAACAGAAATCAGACCTCAGAAATTGATTGTAAAATGTCGCTGAATAGACCTAAAAAATAAACTCTTTCTCCTCCTCTGTTTTGAAAATAGCACGTTCACTTTTTATGTGCTTATGTCTTATGTGCTTATGGTTGGAACTGGATGATCTTTGAGGTCCCTTCCAACCCAAACCATTCTGTGATTTATCATGACTGGAAAGGCCGAGCATCACTAGCATGAAAATAGTCAGTATCTTCCCCTTAAATAACACTTTTAATTAATGAAAGGTTAAACTTAACTGCCTGGGTGAGACAGAAAACAAGCAGAACAAAGGTAAGGATTAAACAGAAACAGATCTATATTGCAGGAAGGCTTCCAGCACAGGGATCGAGGCAGCAGGAGGAACAGTGAAGGATTTGCAACTGGTCACCTGTTGTAACCTTCTCAAAAAGCATCTTAGAACAGATCGTTTATTTATGAGAAACCCACCATGAACAAAGACATCCAGGCAAAGAAAAAAAAAACCACAATTCACTTTCTTGGCTTGGTGTGCTGTTCGTGCCTGCAATAAAATGTCAGTGTTTTTTTTTAACTTTTTAAACTTAAACCACCAGAAAAACGTTTAAAACCACACATTTAAAACATCTGGTGATCAGCACACATGCTTCAGCCATGCAGACTGATGTTTTGCTCTTTCAAACACAAGTTACAAGCAAAGAAAGGCCAAAAGATGTTTGGTTTTTTTTTTTTTTAATAGCAACAGACAAAACAATCGAGCAAGAATATCTCCTCTGCTGAGTAGCAGCTGGTCAACTCTTCACCAGCCTCAACCTCCTACAGGCCTCAGCTTCCTCACACGTCTAAATTGCAAAAATTGCAATTCTTTTCAATGATGTTAGTTTTAAACCCAACTGGAAGACAGTATTTGGTAGTCCCTCTAAAGAGGGAGGGGGGACAGTGCGGCCAGGCATGGTAGTTATGTGAATCTTTAATTACAGTTACGTCATTACTGACAGCTCCAGCTTTCAGTTGCTTTTTCCCCTTTTGATTTGACTTTCATCCAGTCTTCTGGACTAACTGGTTTTTTAATATGATGTGGTTTTAACCAGACTCAGACCAGTTCGAGTACGAAAACGAAACAGCACTAAATATAGGTAATTTTATCGTACAAGAATAAAGTTACAGAACAGCAGCAATAAGAAAACAAAAGTGTATTTTTGCCCAACAACAGTGGGAGTCAGATCTGCAGAAGTGACCTCTATGAACAGAGGCAAATACAAGCCCACAACCAGTTACACCACTGGCATCTCCCTGGCTTTGGCAGTGGGAGAATGACCTGGTTTTCCCCTCTTTGTCTCAGAAAGGAGTCAGTACACGAGAGGGAGAAGGGAAGAGCACGTCTGCAAGACTGGCTGCCCAGTGATATTCCTCAACTGTCACGCAAAATAATTCAACAAATAAACTGAAGCATGTTACTGGGATTTAGGTGGTTGTGCTGGGCGAAGCCTCAACATCGCAGTTGGCAGAAAACTGGAACATGGACTCTTTTCTTTTTGGGCTTGTTTCCTCCGTGGAAGTGCGTCCTTTCCATAAAAGGCTCCAGATTCTCATTTTTAAGGTAAGACCATCAGTTGTTTTTGGTTTTCAACGCTGACAGTATTCGCATTCAAAACTACTTAAATGCCATTGCTAGAAAATAAGCTGTAGTCAAGAAAAGAGCAATTAAAACTTTTTAAAGTCTGGGGGCATCCATTATTAAAACCTCTGGGAATACACAACTCCTTGTGGCCCAAAGTGATGCCCCTCAAAACCAACAACTTTAAAACTGTTTACAGGAAGCTTTGCCTAACACAGGAGCAAGCATCACCACGCTTTTAATTCTCCTTCAACCCTGTGTCTGTGGTTCTGCTGACCTACTCCACCACAGAGCTTTTAAACATCTGAAGGATCGTCTTTTGCTTACTCTTGGGCAGTGAACAAATATCATTTGCATCGTTGGTGTTAACCACGCAATTCAAAACTTTCCCTCCCTTGATGCTGGGCGATTTCATTCGGACTCTGGTAGGGGACTGCCAGTTTTCATTGCAAGAACCTCTCCGAGTCTTGCGGTGATTTGTTTCAGCCTGTTTTTTTGGTACCTTAGAGTCTTTCGCCACCCTTCTAGCAGGAGAGTCTTTCACAGACTGAGGTCGTTTCGCACGAAGAAGGTACTCATCTGGAGAGCCCTTTTGTCGATTAAGTGTCCTTTCCTCTTTGTCGATCTGTTTTTGCAGCTGCAGAGCCAGAAGCCTGTCCTGCTCCTCTTGCATACGCCTTTTGTAGAACTCCTGCTCAAAGGCTTCCTGCATTTGCAAGTTAAAATCATTCTCTGGCTCCCCTTGGTCCTCTGAACTTTCTGGAGAAGTTCTTCTCCTCTTATCAAGCACGCACAAGTCAATCGCTCCTTCAGCCGGTGGCTCCAGCGACTTTCTTTTTGGAGTCTCCTTAGTGTTCTGCAGTCTCTCGGGTTTGTCCCCATCTGAGCGTTGAGCCACCTCCACGAGATCACACATTACATCTCTGCTGTCAGACACCCCAGAATTTGTTGCTGACTGAATACAGGCACAAGTTTCAGCAGAGTTTTCAAGGTTCATGCTTTCTATGTGTGTTAAACTGCCACTTCCTGACTCAATTCCATCACCTTCTCCTTTGGATCTACAAACTGTTTTAGACCCTTCCCCTTCCGTGATTCCACAAAGCGTATCTGGAACTTCATCTCCTAGACAATTTGGTCCTGGTGTTTTTTCCTGCTTAACAGCAGCCGTTTCCCCTGAAGCTGAGGTGCTGAAATAGTTCATGCACGATTCCAAAAACGAATCCTTAGCACTGGAATCTTTAGTCACAGCAGTCAGCTGTGGGGACAGTGTCGGCATTTCCTCTCGCTCATCTTGCCACGTAGAACTGCCACCTTCATTGCCGTTGGTCTCCTGCAGAAAAGGGAGAGATAAAGTAGATTTATCAAAACGCAGTGGGTGTGAATAAAACACAAATCTCATTTCTCATAGCTGCGCTGCTTGTAACTACTCTGGGATATGAACTTGGGTCTTTCTCGTTTCAAAAATGCCCAATTGTTTAATAATAAAGAAAATATTCAAAACAACCTACAGAAGCCTAGCTCAAAGACTGAAAACCCAACTGCAGCATTCTCCTCTTATCAACGACTCAAATCAGCTCTTCAAGGTTGAGAGCTGACCTGCTCATCTTCTTTAGGAGCCTAACAGGAAAGATCAGGCAGAAACAGACGTATGGAACGATGAAAACCAGAGTGCAACCCCCTCCAGTGAGCTCCAGAACCATCATTTTAGTTCTATACACTAGAATATGGGTTCTGGGTTCCAGCTGCAACCCAGAACTTGCTGATGATGTTCACGTAAGGCACTTGTAAGGCTACACAAGTTAACTATCAAAGCAAGACGCAACACGTGCATCAGTGGACTGTCAAACGTGGTTTCTTCCCTTTCCACTTTGGGGGAATCACCAATACTGAAAGTAGTTCAAAAAGGGCAAGGTAAATTGCCCAGTGCTGATGTGCAAAGGGAATATAGGATTGGAAATCCTATAGGCAAGGGGAAAACAACCTATAATTACCAACACTGAGGTTTGTAATAAAATGATTCTAGTTACCACAGAGCCAGAGTCACTCCTGCCTCTTTCTCTTGCTCTACAGAAAGATGCTGATCCCAACGTATGATGAAGCTTTGGAGACAGATACCTTAAAAGGAGAGGGGGAAAAAAAGAGTACACCTTTTAAAACCTTTTTTTTTTCTTGAATTGTCAGTCCTTTGCATTAATCAAGATCTTCAGGTTCAATCCAGTTTACATTTGCCCCAGATTACCCAAGGAAGTTGGACTACAGGGTTCCAAGGAAGCAACCGGAGCAGAGAGACATTATACCAAGAAACAGACCAATAATCAAAGAACAGCAACTTGAATTACTTACTTCTGAATGTCTCCAGAGTTGCTCGGTTTGTTCTTCATCTTGCACAAATTAGCCGGGGACGTTTCGGATGAGAGACTGCCTGCTGGCGAAGGACTGCTGAGCACATGTCCTCTGGAATCGTCATTCTTCAATGACAAGTGAAAACAGCATTACAGAAAACAGAACACCACACAAACTGGAGAAAACACAGAAAACTACTTGGCTTCTGCTGCAGAATTAGTTATTTTTGTCTGAAGAACTCTAGAAACGTAAGGAACAGATACTTATGGAATAAGAAGTGTTAACGTGTTCTGTGCACTTTCCTGTACCTGGCATTAAGGGACAAGGGGTTTTGCTCAAATAAGTACACAGGTTTCATCATTAGGACTATTATCAGGTAGCAAAAACCAATCAACCAAAACCCCAAAACAAATTAACCAAATGAACCAAGAAAACCCCAAAACATAAGGTAACATTCATCATACATTGCTTTTTTTTTCAGTACAAGTTACAGACATGAATTTCCTCCGAAGAAGTAATTTTTAAATCATGGGGAAAAGGAAGTATTCAGAAGAAAGACAATGTTTTAAAATGTTTCACAATGAAAACATCCAGCACACGTTTCAAGTGCATATTACACAGGTGGAAATGTTTGCGGTATTTCAAGAAGATGATGCGAGGGCTGGAGCCCCTCTGCTCTGGAGACAGGCTGAGAGAGTTGGGGCTGTTCAGCCTGGAGAAGAGAAGGCTCCAGGGAGACCTTCCAGCACCTTCCAGTGCCTAAAGGGGCTACAGGAAAGCTGGAGAGGGGCTTTGGACAAGGGTGTGTAGTGATAGGACAAGGGGCAATGGATTTAAACTGAAAGAGGGGAGATTTAGATTGGATATAAGGAAGAAATTCTTCCCTCTGAGGGTGGTGAGGCACTGGCACAGGTTGCCCAGAGAAGTTGTGGCTGCCCCATCCCTGGAAGTGTTCCAGGCCAGGTTGGATGAGGCTTTGGGCAGCCTGGTGTAGTGGAGGGTGTCCCTGCCCATGGCAGGGGGGTTGGAACTGGATGATCTTTGAGGTCCCTTCCAACTCAAACCATTCTGTGATTCTATGATTCTATGACTCACCCTCCTGCTGGTTCTTCAAAAGTTAGTGGTTGATCAAGGATCTAAAGTACTGGGGGCTGACAATAGCTTCCAATCACAATTAAAATACATTTAAATCAGTCAAAACTTTAACTTTTGCTCTGAAAATTCTAAGTTGCTTGCACTGTATCAAGGTTTTCTACAGCCCTACTTGATCTTAACTCACCAGACTGTTACTCAGCTGCCACGCCAACTCTTCATCTTGCTTCAGCTGTTTCTCCACCTCCCTCCGTCTCTCTTCTGCCAATCTGTGTTCCTCCTCCTCCTCTGCCAGAAGCCGCTGGATGTATTCCTCACTTGCCTTGTTCTCCTCTTGTTCATGCGCTCGCCTTTCTGCCTCCACCTAAAAAAACATGATTTTTGTTAAAGGCATCACTGCTGGAGGATCACCATTTACACCAGAACCTCTCAGCTGACGCTCCTTAAACGTGAACGACCCGCCGTTCACAAAGACACTCTGCACACTTCGGGGCCAGGATGGAACTGCACAGCTCTCCTCGGATGGAAGAATCGAACCGATTCCGTGCGTAGAGTCGTCAGTTTGATCAGCAGTGACCGACCTTTCGGCTTCTCCAAGACTTCACCAGTAACGGTCCTGGCGTGCGAGGTTACAACCCATTTACTCACCTTTCAAAATGTTAATAACAATGTGCTGGGTTTGTGTGAAGGGGTTCTGGTGGTGGGAGAGGGGATTTGCTCCCTGTGACCTCCCCGGTCTGGACTCCCATCCCCCTCGGGGTTGAGCCA